GGGGGGGGGGGGGGGGGGGGGGGGGGGGGGGGGGGGGGGGGGGGGGCAGAGGGGTAATCATCGAGCAGGCGAGACAGATCGAGAAGCAGAAACTCATGGTCCACAAAGATAATGTGTGCCAGATGGCGTGCTGTAGTGTGACGTGGCATGGATTTACCAGCCCCAGATAGTTGTTAAGGTACAACGACACCTGTTATCTCTTGCCCCCTTTGGAGTTGTCAACCTGATCAGTAGGTAGTGTGTGGCAAGAGTAGGTAGTAGTGGGTGGTAAGAGGTAAGCGAGCAGTACACTATGACCACACTCTTGGCCCTTGGTGTTTGCGGCAGCTGCAATCCTTGAAAGCAGCGAAATGGCCAGCAATACGCAATCGCCACCGCCCTATTATTGGAGACAGAAGCGCTCTGATAGCTGCAACAGCATTCGGTTGCCAGTGTTCCTGCTGCTCCTGTCCTTTCGAGTGGATGCATACCGAATGTCTTGTCTGTGCTGGTACTTTCGCTTTTTTTCCCGTAGGGCGCTGGATTTGAAATACGCATGCCTCCCTTGCTCTCTCCGATGATTTTGGTCTTCACTTTTTCACTCTTTCACTCACTTTGAGCACGCGTGTTGCCGTTCATGCGTCGGGTCTCGGCGATACCCACCTCACGATTTTTTACGATTTAATTTGTTGCCCTTGATTTTCACTTCTGTTTCACCCATGTTTCCGCTCATGCGTGGCGCCTGGGTTACACATCTGTAAATTCCCTATCTCTCTTCGATGATCTTATTTTCACACGTGTTTCGGTCAATGCTTCGGGCCTGGGCTATAGTTACCTCCCTACCGCTCTCCAATGATGTTAATCTTCGCTCGCGTTTCCGTTAGTACGTGGGGCCTAGACTAAAAATTCCGCTTTCTGAAGACTCTTTGTTCGCGTCTTTGACGTTATTTTAATCGTGGGTGACATCCATACGGATGGGTCTCGGCTGCACATACCTACCTCCCTAGTTCCATTGCACCTCCCGGCGACACATTGTTTTCACGACATGTACCTGCCGTGGCCACGGTAATGACTAATGACAGCAGCAGCCAGACCAGGCACGATCCAGAGACGGCGCGGTTGGCGAGGCTGGCGGCGCTGGAAGGAAGGACGGGGGCCGGCGGAGGGCGAGGAGGGGGGGGGGAGGCGGCGGCACCTCTACTGGCGGCCAGCGACCACGACGTGCTGACTCTCCAGGTGAAACAAGGTTCTTCCTTGGTTCTGTGTTGTGCGGTTGCTGCTTGCCGTTGTTAAGGCTGTCGCTGTGTGCAGAAACCATACGCCCGTACGTGTGCATGCACAAGAAACGAAAAATCTTGTTTTGCCCCGGTTCATACCTTACTTGTTTTTTTGTCCTCTGCCTTGGCACCCCAATATCGGCTATTGACTTGGGTTCTCGAGTATTGTAGGGTTGTGGGCTGAGAGTGTTTTTCTGTTATCAAGGTTGAGGTTTGTTAGGCCCACTTGCAGACTGCCACATCTCTCAAGTAGCAGGTGACGCAAACTGCCATATATATGTGGATCATTTGCAAGGCACCGTTTTCCTTACGTTCATCGTGTCGTGCTTTTTGTTTAGAGATACACATGCAATCGCTTTACTGTACTGTTAGGGGCGTCAATGCGGAAAATTTCCTAGAGGAAAAAAATTGAAAAAGCGTCCTCGGATCTTGCTGATGGAAAATCGACCAACCAATGAAATTGCACGGAACCGTCGGACCCTCCCGAAAAGACCCTCTGACGCACAAGCGCGAGGGCGCCGCTCGTGTGTGTTCTCTGATTATTCAACGGGTTCTCTCTTCCGCCTGGCGCTGTCCCGCCACCGCCGACTCCTTCTCTCGCCCAATGGCTTGTTTCTCCTGCACGGCCTGTTGTTTCTCCTGCTCGGCCTGCTGTCTCCGTGCCCGCTCCGACTTGAGCTCCTTGTCTTTCTCGCGCATTAACTCCAGAGCCATGCTGCAACCAGCTTTGTTCTCTTCCTCACTTTTCCTACTTTTGGCCAGCTCCTCCTTCGTTCTTTCCAGCGCTTTCTGCGCGGCGGTGATGCTGCCGCGCTCGATAGCGCGCCGGGTGTTGTCTGCTGCTCACGTGGCAACCATACACTGCCCCGTCCTCTCTTCAAACTTAGTTTTGTTTTGATTCAACTTTCGCGCAGCGCGCCTCCTGCTGCCGAACGGGGCGAATCTCGATTTTTTTTTTGGGAGGGTCTGCTGGTGTGGGCGCTGCAGCCCCGCTGGAGGGGCCGTTTTCAGACATGTAGATCTCGTGGTTGGCTGATGCGATTCGGATGCGGTTTGTTGTGTGGTAAAGCTGTAAGCCCAAGGTAGAGGACTGTAAGGTCGCTTTCACGAGAGGAGCAACGGTTGCCTTGGGCGTGGAGCAAAGAGCCCCAAAAACATGTTTTTTGGTGTTGTTCGTCCGCCCTTTTACTTAAAGAGAAAACCGACCTCACAGTCGCCTCTATTGGACCTGTGTCCAGGTGTGTGTAACGCATGAAGAGCCATGCTGCTGTCTGGACGCAGAGCTGCCTGTATAAACAAATTGACTTGATGTATAATTTATTCAGTATCAACAGCGGGATTCTCAAGAACCAAAAAATACCAAATCCGCGTGCCCCCCTCACATTTTGCCGAATGGACCGGACGTTTTTTTGGCCCCATTCCGCCGCTTTGACACCCCTAACTGTGTTGTACTGTGTTGTGCAGGACATGGGGTTCACCGCCGCGGAGGCGCGAGAGGCCTTGCAGTTCACCAACGGGGACGTCGAAGCCGCCGCCTCCTACCTCGCGGCTTGAGCCTTGACCTTGCCGTTGAGGGCATGGACACTAACTGCAATGGAGAGTGTACAGTGAAAAGGGCACCGTGGCGGTGAGGGAACGGAGGTACCCACCCCTCCCTCCAGAATATAAGGCAGGGCACCGTGACGGCAAGGGGAGGGGGTACCCACCCTTCCCACCAGGATGGAGCGCGGGGGCCCCGTGCTGTGATTGGAGGGGGGGTTCACCCTCCACCAGAGTAGGGATGAGAAGACAGACACGCCGCTGCTGGCCAAAATTTGGCGTTTTGTTGCCCCCCTGGCTCGCCACATGTGTCCGGTCGTACAGCAGTACCATAGTACCATAGTGCCATAGCTTGGAAGGCACAAAGCGTCGTACCGCAGGAAACCTGCTCTTGGCACCGGAGGCAAGGTACTTGTTCCTATCAAGCAAGTTTCCGCGGGTTGACTTCTCGGGGGGGTGGGGGTGGGGTCACGCGGTTGCGATGCAGCCATTAGTTTCCCCAGGCTACGTCGTTCTCGTCTGCGGCACATGCGCTCCTAGGTACTGTGTGTATTGTTGTGATTGCTGCCGAGGCGTGCTGACCTCTTTTTCTCAAGTGTCAATTGGTGTGGACACCAATCAAAGATTGTGCGTCAATCCGTCTAGTAGTAGTATTCACGTGCCTGAAAGCCTGCAGGGGTGAATGTGTTCGTGATTGTCAATATGCCGCGCCCGGTTCCTTGTTGGCCGTTCAGCTAGTAATGTGTCTTTTTAGTTATTTATTTCTTGACATTGCCGTTTCGTTTCTTCTCTCGAGTAAGCACGGAATCCAGCTGTCAGTCTCACGTGGGCGCACGCTTTGGTTGACGAAGTCATGCGCACATCATACGCCGTTGTTTATGTTCGGCCTGTGTAGTGTGTGTGGCTTCAACGTCATTGCAATACTGCTGTAGACTGCCAGAGCGCGCAGCCCGTGTTGAACAAGCCACGTTTCCCGGCCTAGCCTATTCCGATGTCTGCCGATCTGCGGCATCATCGATCGTTGATGAGCTTGCCGCATTCTGCATTGTGCATGGTCGACGTCGTCATTTTGTATAATTTTCGTTTAGAGCTGCCCTTCTCTTGGCTGACCGTCGTCTTCGCCCTTGCTAACGTAGAGCGCATAATATCTTCACGACTCTGGAGGATTGCTCAAACGGGTGTTTTTTTTTGTCAATGGTTGCGTCGCCATACCACGCACGGGAGTCGCTGTTACAGCCGTATTCGTGTGTTTCTTGTGCTTTTTGCTGGCGTGGCGTTCCCGCAAGGCCCCTGTTGTGAAATGTTACCCGAAAACGTCGGATTCACATTTAGGGCTTCTGTTCCGCGGAGTACAGGAAGCGTCGTGTATACATCATGGAGCGATGGAAGGTACATAGCTCTCCGTGTCAGTCGTGTTTCGGTTCCACGAGGCGGGGAGCACGCTCAATTACAACGCTCTCTAAGATGCCGTTGAAGGCGTGCGTTCGTTTTGCGTGTAGTTTTTTGTGTGGGATCTATCATTGGCGGCGTCGACTGGCACCGCATGGGACCATGTCAATGCATACGATCCAGCATCCCCGGTTGACCATCTGAGTTGTAATTCCAACTGTTGAACTCAAGACATACACGTCCAACGTTCGTCGACCTCAAAAACTGAGGGCGCAAGAGCGCGCATGAAAAGAGGCCCGGCTGGCCTGACCAAAAAGTTCCAAGACAACAACACAAGCAAATAGCGATCAAGCTCATGAATGCCTTCTTTGTTGCACTCCCCTCAGCAACTGTTTGGGCGCTAACACGCCCACTTATGTATCCCCCAAGTAGGCGCATACAGCGCACGTAAATCGGAGTGATATCCAAAGTACCCCAAACAGAACCGGTAGAAGATACCTCGAGTAGGGTGCTCGCGCTGGGAGTCCCGTGCAACCGGCCGCCAATGTCAGCNTGTGTAACCTCCGGCCAACCAGGGGTTATTACATGGGATAACGTGGGGGGGTTACAGGCCGAGCGAGCATAACGTACCAGGTTATGAAAGCGGTCATGCGCGGATTGGTGTGAATGAAGGAGGAGAAAAGAAAAAACTATGTGTGAGCCTTCCCCTCCATTGCGACATTGTATTCAGCTCGTACTTACTTGTGTTACAGTTACGCAATACCTCGCTTGACATCACTCTAAGTCGAATTAATTGGTGGAGCAAATGTAACTTGGGGCGAATCGAACCAGCAACTCGTGCCTGAAGAATCTAACGGTTGACCGCTACGCTACATGTTGGGTCTTGTAACTATGCTTTTATAGTAGGGGCGGAAACAATGGTGGCAACACCACCCACGCGGCCGATAAGAGCACACTTATCCTATGCGGTCCCCCCCACGCTAAAAGCAGAAACTCCGAGTAAAGTCCTCCATTACGAATCATTCAATGGCAAGTTTTTGTTCAGCTAAGTTTTTATTTTCCACAGCAGCAACATATAGTATACGAAGTATAGAATTTTTTAACAATGCTGAGCGCGCAGTTGTTTTCAGCAGAGATCATATTATCATGTAATAATACTACATTCGACCACTATTGTTATATATTTTTAAGGAGACAGACGTACGTACGTGTTGTCGCATTGACTTTTACGAGAGAGGCAGCGTGTGTAGGTAGTATATCATCGCCTACTCTATCTCTCTTTTTCTCGGACTTTGCTTTGCCCCCCAATCGATGCCGTGCGTGTTTCTACGCAATATATATATCAAATAGAGTAGGCCCATGTCTGTCGATGTTGCTTCCGGCACTACATCATGATCATCAGAAGATAAAGATGGCGCTCGCACTTAAGAACTTGGCAGTTAAGATATGCGGCCTCGAAAAAAAGTCAAAATCAAAGAAATTGTCGACAAATTAATAATAATTACAACACACGTGCGTGCTCAGGCCCGACGTGGTGTTAAGAACAAGAACGAACCCGCATTTCTTTGTGGTGTAAGGACATAGCCCTCAAAACGCGACAGCTGCAAGATATAATGAGCACTCACGAAGGAGTGAGGGGCTACTCGCGGGGTGAACGGTGGGCAGTTAGTTGCAGATCAGCGGCGAGGAGGAGGTTCCTTTGAAAATAGTACTGGTGGTGCGGAGATGGGGGGGTGTAGTATTTTTATTTTTGCGCGTCCAACGGTAGTCAACAATAAAAAAATCGGTCTTACAAATGCCGGCACTCTTGGAGTTTTGTTGTTTTACATATGCCACGAATGTCCGATAAATCGGTGTGTCGTGTATTCTGTGGACACCGGCTGGTACATAGTTTTCGCGGCAAGGCATGGACATTCTCGGGCTTGGACAACCTCGCCTGCAACCAAGCACGGATGCAAATTTCCCTTAACTGGGTTTGGACCGGCGTGTCGGAACCCTGCCTAACCTTGGAGGTTGGTAAAGGTGCGCCCGACCGGGTTACTACGCAGGTTGCATAACGCCTAGGGGTTACATGTCACGTTAACCCCCCCGTAACCGTGCCCACTGACCACCTGTGCACTGCCACAGACCAAACAGAGCGGGGAGGCGGCTGTAAAAAACCGAAACGGTGCTTCAACTAGGATTTAGTGTAGTTAGTAGTTTACTTCTCCTAATGTGACGTTTAGTCTATTGTACTTCGGATTTAGTATCGGGGTATACCTAGTCTACATAGCGTTATACACCTCTTAATATGGGTTTTAGCGTTAAGGAGGACCCGATTCGCAGGGTATCCGTCGATGGACTTTTACCAAAATCGGTAAACAAACTCCTTCTTCGCAACTTAGACTGTTTGTGTAGGACTACTTGTGTGGTACGTAAAGTGGTAATTTTCAAAGACCCGATTTTGGTTGTACCTCCATAACTTTTGACTGAGATCGAATTAAAAAAAAAAAAGTCAGCTTCAGAACACCCGTAGCATGGCGCAAAAGAGTAGCGAATCGCCAGAGAAAAGACTAAAAAAAAAAGTGCTCGCGGCGGGTCTCGAACCCCCGACCTTGGCCCGAGAGAAACTTTTCACCCATATATTTTCGTACTCCAGATTTTTGTTTTTCATGCCAAGACACCTACACGTGTACCGGGAGACCCTGAACCACGTCACAAATGCCTTTGCCGCGCCTACTGCGTACCTATATCACCCGCTAACGTACTTCCGTCGCAAAAATGTGCCAGCTTTCAACAAACACGTCGCTTTTGTACAACATTCCATCCAGAAAAACAGGGAAAAAAACTGAAAGAGTTCCGCTCAACGAACAAGAATGCGCCATCCATCTACTGTCTCCATTCCTTCGGGGTCGGGCGCCTGTGTGACTTGTACTTCTTGTACGTCTTCTTGCCTTCAGGCCCTTCCACACGCGTCTCGCGGTACATGAGGGCGTGTGTGTATGCCTTCTTGCAGTAGCCCTGGACCACTGAAACAGCCTGCCTATCCTTCTCTGATCTAAAACTCAGCGGCACGTTTTGGCGCAAGCATTCCAACGAATACGTGCAATTCTTGCGAGTCCAGTCCTTCGCTCGTCCCCAAACAAATTCGATCAGGTTACACTCGCAGTGGTACTTCGGAAGCATGAGACAGCCCCCCCCGTGGCGCTGCATTAACAGCACCAGACTAGAATCAACTTCCTTGAAGTCTTTCTGCTCTCCTAGAACGTGTTCCATGCTCTTGCTTAGGTCCTGCTTCTCGCCTGAGCCCCCGGTCTTAGTCATGCCTTTGACCAGGAGCCCCCTCTCCCACAAGACCTGCCGCATTCCTTTCAGCTTTCCGACATACTCGGCCGGCCGGAGATGCGGGGAGTGGAATGGGGGTGGGTCCCCCCTCCGAAACGTCAANCACCTACACGTGTACCGGGAGACCCTGAACCACTTCACAAATGCCTCTGCCGCGCCTATAGCGTACCTATATCACCCGCTAACGTACTTCCGTCACAAAAGTGTGCCAGCTTTCAACAAACACGTCGCTTTTGTACAACATTCCATCCAGNAGACACCTACACGTGTACCGGGAGACCCTGAACCACTTCACATATGCCTCTGCCGCGCCTATAGCGTACCTATATCACCCGCTAACGTACTTCCGTCGCAAAAATGTGCCAGCTTTCAACAAACACGTCGCTTTTGTACAACATTCCATCCAGAAAAACAGGGAAAAAAACTGAAAGAGTTCCGCTCAACGAACAAGAATGCGCCATCCATCTACTGTCTCCATTCCTTCGGGGTCGGGCGCCTGTGTGACTTGTACTTCTTGTACGTCTTCTTGCCTTCAGGCCCTTCCACACGCGTCTCGCGGTACATGAGGGCGTGTGTGTATGCCTTCTTGCAGTAGCCCTGGACCACTGAAACAGCCTGCCTATCCTTCTCTGATCTAAAACTCAGCGGCACGTTTTTGCGCAAGCATTCCAACGAATACGTGCAATTCTTGCGAGTCCAGTCCTTCGCTCGTCCCCAAACAAGTTCGATCAGGCTACACTCGCAGTGGTACTTTGGAAGCATGAGATAGCCCCCCCCGTGGCGCTGCATTAACAGCACCAGACTAGAATCAACTTCCTTGAAGTCTTTCTGCTCTCCTAGAACGTGTTCCATGCTCTTCCTTAAGTCCTGCTCCTCGCCTGAGCCCCCGGTCTTAGTCATGCCTTTGACCAGGAGCCCCCTCTCCCACAAGACCTGCCGCATTCCTTTCAGCTTTCCGACATACTCGGCCGGCCGGAGATGCGGGGAGTGGAATGGGGGTGGGTCCCCCCTCCGAAACGTCAAGTGCTGTACCGTGCCGGCTGGGAGCTTCGGGGTGTCTTCGAGGATGGTCACGGCGTCCATCGGCGCAAGCTCTTCTCCGTTCCTCACACCACCGACACCCAAGTTCATTCTCTTCACCGACGGTGCGCCGACCTCCAGGCAGTCATGACAGGACGACCAGTCGAACAGGCCTACAGGCGCCCGATCAGGGTAGAGAACTGTTAACATGTCGAGCACGTCTGCCATGTGCTCCAGCATCTTGAGCCCGGTCCAGTATCCCTCCTTGTTCTTGCCGTACTCGAAGAGGTGGTAGGACCAGTACTGTCCGTGCTCGTCGTTGTGCAGCATGTCGATGGGGCGGAATTTCTCGACTTTCACGTGTTGTACGTGCCCTTGTTCAGGTATCTCTTCTTCGCCTCCTCGGCCCACTCGGGTTCGAACTCTATCCAAGCCCTCACGACTTCTTGCAGACTGCTGGCAGACAGGTTGAATGCCCCAGGAACGGCGTCCTGTAGTTCTTGGCGCAGTCTCAACGCACGCGCCCGCCGGGTAGCCCTTCCCAACGATCCAACGGGTCGTCCGGTGTAGTCACGTCGTCCGCCCCAGTTTGAATCTCGTGATCTTTCCGCACCTGCAAGACCAGGTTCTTGCAGTGAACCAAGGGCCGGGGCTGCGGTTCTAGCTGCGCACTGCTCCCGCGGTGGTGCGCTCTTCATGGGCGCGTCGGATGAGCTCTTTTTTTGAAGGGCCTCCCAGTCAGCAGCAGTAACGTTGTCGAGGATGATTCCCTCTGCGATGGCGTCGCGACCGCGTGGCTTTCCAGACGTGATCCAGCCGCTCCGCCATTTCAACTCAGTGCTGTCGCTGGACCTTGCGTACAGCACTACA